GTTCCTCCACGGCACTGCTGCCTGGGTTCTCGTTCCTCCATGGCACTGCTGCCTGGGTTCTAGCTGCAGTACGAACCGTTTGCACTACCTAGGATTTGCACTGTCAAATGCACATGGACCTTAAAATAAAGCATTAACTATAAGATGGAAGGAAATAAAAATCTGAAGTGGAAATTCCACGTAACTTCAACACAAATAGGGAAAAGTAAAAACTTTCAGAAGATGTAATTATTGATTAGTTCTAAAGTGGTAGAAAAACATGTTTGATTATAGTAATTAGAGTTTTAAAACTACTGAAAAAATAGAAGCAAAATATAAGCGAGTTCAAAATTTTTAAAAATTCTATTATCTTTTAATTCCATTTTTCATAAACTTTTTTGAAGCCCCCTAATAAAATTTCTCATTTTTTCTCCAATTGTCCAAAAAAGGAAAAACTTAATCAGTGATAGAAGAGGAAAAAAATGATAACACATATTGGGGGAGGGGGGGTGATAATGCAATCCCAGAAATGATCAAATCAAAATCATTAAATGTTCATAGAAGATTTTAAAAACTGATCATACATTGGGGGTGGGGGGAACCCACAACAATCTCTAGTGACAAATTACAAACAGCAGAAATAAATTACACAGGTTGCTATGGATTGAACTGTGTCCTCCAAAAGGCATCTTGAATCCCTAAGCTCTGTACCTGTGAATGAGACCTTGTTTGGAAAGAGGTTTGCTTTGTAATCAGTAAACTAAATGAGACCATACTAGAAGACAGTAACCCCGCTACCTTCTGAGTTGTGTCTTAGAAGAGCTAAAGGAGGAAACAGGGTGGCACAGACGGGGACACCGCTTATGGGGATCTGCCCTTAAGCAAAGGGCACGGAGGACTGCTGGGCCCTAGCAGCAATGAGGAATTGACACAACCAAGCCCGATTGGGACTTCTACCCTCCAACATTGCGAGAAAACCAAGGTCTGTTCTAAAACCCACACAGTGATATTTTGAACTGTGTGATATTATGACAGCCCTAGGCAGCCAAGGCATAGGCCAGTAATTTTGATAGCCACCGTAAACATAGACAAGGGTCTGCTTCAGATACTGATATTAGACTCAAGTGGCTTTATGGATGAGTTCTCCAAACTGTCAAGACAACTCTAAGTTAAATAAACTCAGATCATAGAAATGGGGGGGGGGCTGGAATGGGGAGCCAATAAGAACAAGTGAAAGAAAGAAGAAAATGTTTGTTCAAAAATGGATTGGTGGTGATGATTATACAACTCTTTTTAAATATGGTTGAACTATTGAAATGCATGATAGGTAAATTATAAGCCAATAAAACTTAAAAAAAAAGAAATGGGTGAAACACTTGCTGTTTCTATACAATTAACATCATGACTCTAATATCAAAACCAATTACTCAAAGGAAGGAAATCTAATTATTTTTCACTAAAATATTAAAAAAAGTCAACCTAGCAAATGCTGACAAAAACATTTGATAAAGTATCACCCACCACTGAGTAACCGAAAACCACAACAGAAATCTTTGTAAGTTAGGAGCTGATGTTTACAATTAGCCCCATCTTACCTTCGAGCTGGTAGGTTGACACCTGCCGCGAGGGTCGATGTGCAGGTAAAAAGACAGAGGACTCCTGTGGAGTAGGCCTCCTCCAAGAGCTTCCTTTCGTCACTGGTTAAGCCACTGTGGTGATAGGCAATTCCAAATGGGATAGTCCTCTTCAAAACAGGGCATATGTTGCCACCGCTGATGTTCTTCAAGTTGTTAATCATCTCGGATTTTTCTTTTTCCCTGTGTTTCAGATAGTCCCTAGGAAAAAGATCTGTCAGAAATACGAACCCTTGATCAGACAGTCCCACCCTAGGACCTATCATTTTCATTTTAGATGCCATGTACATATACTCTAAAAAAATTTTTGTATCACTTTTACTGATGCTGTTACATGCTGTCTAGTCGGTTCTGACTCCTATGCACAAAAGAACAAAACCCTGCCTGGTTGGTGCTGCAAATCCTCAAAATCATTGTTCTCTTTGAGCCCACTTATCTTGCTCTAAGTGCATCAAATATTCTTAGCATTTTCATTGTGACTTCATTAATTAACTACTAGGTGATCTGTTAACTTTTTTGTGGATCTTCAAGTCTTATGAAGATCTGATGAAATCTAAGAAAAAACCACAAAGTCACTTAAGTACAACCCTTAATATACTTTCAGAGGGTTTATGGGCTTCCAGAAGTTTATTCACATGCTCCCTAAGAATCCATGCATATCAAGTTTAGACCCTTGTGAATGATATTTTTAAAATATTAACATACTTGCTTAAAAATTTGCATATCATTTCTGCTACATTTTCACAGTTCTTCTTAGTAGGACAAAAAACTAAGCAGGAATAATTGGGAATAACTTCTGTTACCAACGCTATCAAGCAATCAGGATCCATCTTTTTCAAGGTATCAGAATACTGTAAAATAACAAGACATAGGGACAAGGAATGATTATTAAAGTCTTGTCAATTTTTAAAATCACCAATGTGATCCAAAAGATAAGTAAATCATGATTTTGAATTAATTAAATATGATCATTTAAAAGAAAAGAAAAAAATCTGTATTAAACAGCAAATCATTAAATCCCACTTTTAGGTTATTAGGGGTTTACTAGCTTAATTTGTTTTTAAAAAACAACAAACTAAGATGAAAGTAACAAATAAAAGAGAAATAAGGAAGTGAAAATAGTGTACATTAACAACAGCCTCATTGACTGCCATCTCCACCAAGGCAGAGGGAGAGTCCCCAGAGAGACACAAATTCACCCTAGTAATAAGGGACGCACACAGGAGATAAACCCGTGACGCTTGCTAACAGTGTTCAAAACCACAGACATGATCACACTAAAGGGCATTTTCATACATATAAAATATATCACTGAATCACAACCATTTCTGTGACACTAAGCATACAGCAGGAATTCAAAGAAAACAAAGAAAAAAACTGTAAAGTTATTAAAAAATTCAATTCCTTAGACTTTATTGAAAGTAATGAAGGTACAATTTTAGAATAACACTTTATTAGAATGATTAAATTGTTATAAAACAAGTTCTCTTAAGCAACCAGCCTGTGTGATTACGAGGTGTCGACAGGATCGGGTATCAGGCATCAGAAGACCCAAAACAATCATACCAATGTGAACAAGGAGAGCTGGAGTAGAGCCCCAAAGCCCATCTGCAGACAATTGGACATCCCCTCACAAAAGGGTCACAGGGAAGGGATGAGTCAGCCAGGGTGCAGTGTAGCACTGACGAAACATACAACAGTCTTTTTAATGCTTCCTGAGATAGTTAAAGTGTATTGTGCCAACCTGGCCGATAAACACATGTGGGGTTATTTGAAGGGCAGAGGGATAAATGGCTTGGTGAGCCTCGCCTTTGGAGTTCTCAGGTCTCTTGCTTTGTGATG